TAAAAGAAGTTGCCTTGTTAGAATCATGGAATGGCTTTTGGAAGACTCAGTATGGCTCCTCACGAAAATAACATCTGGGAGATTGGGGTGCTGGTCTACTGGATTTGCTATGTCTTAATCTAGTGACCAATGTAGGCAACAAGGGTGAGGGGAAAGTGTGCCAATTACGTTACAACAAATCCTCTCCTGAACACAATTTTTGTTCTTTTCCTCATGACTTTCAGCTCAGTGTGTTTGAAGGTCCTAGTGCTCCAGGGAGGAACACTTTGGGGAGGGAACAGTCATAGTTCCATTAAACTAGAATCTGAGGCTGTTTCTTAACAGTCTGTACTGCTTAACCAGTAGGCAGGAAAGAAGGTTAGTGTACGGTGTGATTGATCTTGATTACCAAGGAGAAATTAGGTTTCCGTTACAAAATGGGGGCAATAGAGAACTATATCTAAAACCCAGCACTTCTTAGTAAGTCCTTACTCAACCGTATTGATCAATGGAAGATACGTCCACCAAGGACCCAAATTCTACAGGAAGAAAAGTTGAGTCACACCAATTTTCATACTATCCCTTCCATTCAAGAATCGGGAGAGGGTAAGAGGACCATAAAAGAGTTATCAAAGAAGGAAGTTTGAAAATCAACCCAGGACTCATCACAAACCTCAGAATGGGTCTCGTGATCTGTTTCCTTTGGCTTCCTTTTTTTCCCTTTGCTACTTATGTGGAAGCACAGGTGGTAGCTAAGATTTTAGGTTTCAGGTAAGAGTATAACTGACTTGGCATCACCTCATAATGATATGTTACTGGGGATTTTGTGTGAATACATTTTTCACCAGGGCAAGATATATGAACAAGAATATATGCTAACAAAGGGAGTGAAATATGCTAGATATTTTCCGTTTGCCCCACTATATGCCACTATATGTAGTCTCTATCCTCTTTCACTTTGCTCTGTGAGCCATGCAGGTGGCCTTTATGGATGACATTAATGGCTTCTATGGAGTCAGCCAATGAAAGGCATTGACAAGAAACTGGAGGAAGGAAGGATGAAGCTTTTCACTAGGCTTCCTCTCTAGTGGTAAGTACACCAATGCCATCACATATGGTTCTTCTCATTGAAGATCAGGTACAGGCTTTTTCCTATACCACTAGATTCTAATGTAATTGGCACACAAAGGTAAAAGAAAGCATCAAAGAAAAGCTTTTCCGTAAGAAGCTTTCATGAGGACATTTTTGCCTTTTACATTGGGACCCTGCTTTCCTTTCTGCTTGCTTCCGCTCCTGACCTTCCTTGTTTGCGGCTGTCATTAAATCAGCCAAGTCCTACTCTTGCTTCTAGTCTTGGCGTTTTAGCTCAGAAAGTGAGCTAAACAGATCATTAACCTGACCCATTGATGTGAAAATTTGTAAAACTCCAAGTTTCTGATATATGTTTAATTCTTATTCTCAATTTGGAATGTTGTTTCAGGGGGTACTTATTTACCTATTTTAATGAATATATTAGTAAGAATTCAGAGTGGAAGGCTCATGTACTTTTATTCACTTCTTACTAGAAGTATTAACAAACATTTATTGAGCATCTTCTGTGTCCTAGGCAGTGTGCAAAAATTTTGACTGACAAACACATGGCTCCTGCTTTCAAATAGCTAATAATGTAGTTAGGGAAATAGACAAATAACCAAATATCTATAATATATGAGAAATTATATAATAGTAGCATAGACAAAATGTTATGGGAGCATAAGGTATGTTGTTACTCATTCTTCCTAAATGAAGAAAACTTCATCAAAGAAGTGCCATTAGAACTGTGTGACAAAGGCACAGGAAATGGACATTCTGGCTATCATGGTCACAGCACGAAGTATCCAGAGAATGGAAACTAGTCCATTGTAGTTAGACGTAGAGGGCATGAAAGTGAATGTCAGAAAATGATTCTGGAATAGTACATTGGGGCCAGTTTATTGAGGAGCTTGAATGTCAAGGCAGATAATTAAACTGTATTCTTCAGATAGAACCGTCAGATTATTTTAAACAGCAGAGTGACAGGATTAACCCTAAATTTCAGGAAAATATTTAGTTGCAATGTGACATATTGAGTGGCATGCAATTTGATGACTTTTGACATATATACTCCCAAGAAACACTACAAAAATAATGAACATATTAATCACCCCCAAATTTTCCTTGCCCCATCCCTAAGCAATCACAGATTTGTTTGCTGTCATTATTGATTAGATTGCCATTTGTAGAATTATATATAGATGAAACTATATAGATGTACTCTGTTTTGTCTGGCTTCTTTCAGTCAGCATAATGATTCTGAGATCCATGAATGTGTTTGTGTGCATCAAGTTTGCTCCTTTTTATTGTTCGGTGGTATTCCACCATACAGATACGAAACTGTTTATACATCCATCTCTTAATAGACATTTGGATTGTTTTTAGTTTTTGGCTGTTATAAAGATGCTGATATGGCTGAAATGTGTGTCCCCTCCATATTTCATGTTGAGATGTGATTCCAGTGTTGGAGGTGGGGCCAAGTGGGAGGTGACTGGATCATGGTGGCAGATCCCTGACGAATGGTTTAGCACTATCTCCTTTGTGATAAGTGAGTTCTCAGTTAGTGCATGTGAGTTATGGTTATTTAAGAGTCTGGGACCTCCCCATTCTCACTCTCTTGCTCTTGCTCTCACCATGTGACATGCTGGCTCCCCTTCACCTTCTGCGATGATTGTGAACTTTCTGAGGCCCTCATCAGGAGCTGAGCAGATGTTGGTGCCATGTTTATACAGCCTGCAGAACCATGAGTCAATTAAACCTATTTTATTTATAAATTACCCAGTCTCAGATATTGCTTTATAGTAATACAAAAAAGGCCTAATACAGAGTTATTTAAGTCTCTTGAATAACTAGGAGTGGAATGGCTGGGATGTTTTGTAGATACATGGAATTATATCTTTTTTTATTCCCACAAGCAGTGTATGAGAGTGTTTATTTCCACATGTTAAGAACCAATTCATTGCAATTTTCTTTACTTTTTTATAGGAAATAAGTTGAACTTTTTCAAAGGCTTTTTAAACATCTGTGGAGGTAACCATGTGATTTTTTGTCTTAGTCCTATTAGTATTGTGCACCCTAATAGTGGGTTTCCTAACAGAGTCCTAACAGGTTCTTGCATTCTTCGTATAAATATCAAGTCATGGTGTGGTGGTTTGTTTTTTTTTTTTTTAAGTGTTGCTAGGGAATCTATTTCTAAATTGTATTTTGGATTTTTGCATCAGTTGTCATAAATGAAGTTGCTCTCTACTTTTCTTTTTTTGTGCTACCATTACTATGATTAGGTACTGATGTTATATTTACATCATTAAAATAATTTTAGAATTTTCCTTATTTGCCATGCTCTGAAACAATTTAAAAATATTGGGACTATTTGGTCTTTAAAAGTTGGGTTGAATTTCCCTGTGCAGTCATCTGGATCTGGTGTCTCTTTGTGATCATTTGTTTTTTCTCGATAATTTTCTCTATTTCTTCTATGAAAATTGGTTAGTTTAAGTTTTCTGCCTCTTCTGGCATTAATTTTGGTAAACTGTTTTCTAAGAAATTATACATTTTATCTGGGCTTATAGAAAGAAGACTAATATCAGCACAACAAAAATCTGTCAGCTTATATAAATTTTCTCATAATTCATCACCTGAGCTACCACTAAAATGAACGCAGTGTCTAAAAACGTAAACCAAGGCTATTTTTTTAAAAAGGAAACATAAAGAGATGTGTTCCCATGGGAATGCCTGCCCAGATTTATCTTGGTAAATTTGTTCACAATTGTCATAATCCTACCACAGGGTGAAAGTTCTATGCAAGAATACACAATTAACTCTGAGACATTTTTACACACCTATGTTAGTAGAGGGTATCTCTTTCTCCTCTACCCAAGAGTGGAGCCACATTGACTATTTCTATTAATTACTAATTATTAGTAGTAATATTTGTACATTGCTATTTACTCATATAGTCAATAACAAATAATACAGATGTTCTTGGCTTTTTTATCTCAATACTTGAGAGAAATTTTGGCAATAGAGATAATTTTACTTATATCTCTAATGTTTGCAGAGCTTCTATTTGCTTCAAAAGTTGTTTTATGAAAAAAGATTTCAGGAGAATCTGGTTTCTAAAACTTATCTATTATACATCATCATTTGTCTTCATGTAGGTTTGAAGAAGAGTGATTTTAATGAAGCAAAATCAGCATAAATGCTATAAAACAAATGCTCAAACCAACCAATGAAGCACTATTTGCTCTGCTCTACTCTATATTACGTGTCTGGGGTTCTCCAAATCTCCCCTTCCTCATGTATCTCAGACTAATGACCATGGGTGGTAAATGATATCCTCCAAACATCCACATTTGCAAACAGCAGGGGTGAGGATGGAAGTTAGGGGGCATCTCTTCTGGCTACATTAGAAATATTTTCTAGAAATACTTTGTGCTGACCACCCAAATACTCTTAATCATGAATAATTTCTTCAGGGACTGTGGTAATTGGTTTGGACTTTTAAGGCTGTCTTTAACTTTCTTCTCCCTTGTTTCTTCTAGCATCTTTCACTCTCACTGTATCTCAGTCAGGGTTCAAATGCCTCTGAGCACTGCAGCAGCATTCCCTTGGAATCATCTCAGCTTTCTCTTGACATTCAGCAGAATGTTGGAAAGGCTTTTTATATATTTATCCTAGCTTATGGTGCCAATCGTTTAGGTATTTTGTTCTAGTCTTCAACAGGATAAGAAGTCCAAGTAAGCACCTTTTCAAGGAATGTTGCTCTTTTCAAGAAATACTATTCTGGGACTTTGTTTCAATTCTTCATATTATCTGGGACTGTGCTCTGGCAGATTTAATTTCCAAAGTTCAAAATTTAAGTCAAATTTAAAATCTTTGTAACATACGTACAGTATCTTATTTTCTTCTCAAAAGTGAGAATGAAATGGAGACACAGAAGTAGTTCATCTTTCATATTCTCTTTATAAATTGGTATCTGATACAGTTCACACCGAGGCGAATGTGTGAGATCTTGGCACTCAAGAATAAGGCAACAATGTGAAATGAAGAATTTCACAATATTTGATTAAAGGATAACAAATATCACTTATTATTGCTCAAAATAAATAATATCTTATAAAATAACATCAAGAAGAAAAATAGATTTTAATGGGCCCCTGTAAGAAACTGATGGATCAACCATGTATAAATTAGTAAGGAGTGAAAAGATTTCAACGACCAAATTAAAAAACCTGATATAAGAGAATCTTGCACTCAATAGATAGGAATATTTTTAAAAGATATTTTTAAAGCAGAAAACCAACACTTTTAAAAACAAATGAATATAACATGTTTAAAAGGGAGTATACAGAAACTATACATTCTTTCCAAAGTCATGTGGAACATAAGGATTCACAACATTTCTCAAAATTTTATCACATAGGTAAAGTTCTATAACCACTATGCAAGTAATTTAGAAATTAACAATAAAAGATGGAGAAACCAATATATTTGGGAAAAAAACTCCCAAATAATCTGTGCGTTAAGAAGGCAATAATGAGAGAAACTATGAAATCTTTAGAACTAAATGACTATCAAAATACATATGTATCAAGATGTCTGATAATCAGTTCAAATGGTACATAGGGATAAGTGTGTAGTTTTAAATGCATTTATTAAAAGATAAGAAGACATTGTGGCATTGTCAGATCCAGGCTTGTTTAAATTTGTGCTTTCTATTTCTTTATTTTCTTTGTGTCTTAACAAAACGGGTAACAGCATATACCAGTTCACCCAAAACTTCTCCACGACAATAGCAAGCTTTTGAACTTTTAACTGTTTATTGAAATTATGTGATGGTCTCACTATTGGAGTCAATAAAGTATGGTTCTTAATTTAAAAAAAAATTTCCCCTGCCTTTAGTATTTTTAAATTAAATTGCGATAGGGTAAAAGCAATATAAATCAATGTTCTATTTTTTTCTTGACGTAAGAAGTCATTTAGTACTTTCAAGTCTACTAGTTTATTGATTGTTTACTTATCTGCTAGATAATTATGTATTTTTATTACTACAATTTCTGAAACATGCCATTAGAAATCAAGGTTATCTGAGGTTCCAGGTATTATGGAGTTTCTTCTTATGCTTCTTTATCTTCATATTTTCTGAAATAAAAATAAAAAATATAACATATAGAAATAATATATTAATTCATAAAGATGAAATTATTTTCACAATTTCTTAATCATATTATCTCCTTTTTGTATCCTCTTTGACACCACCCACCCGTTTAATATAGGGAAGATAACTTTATATTAGGAGAAGATAAGATTCTTAAGATATATTAGACAATGCCAATTTTAATACTCTCATGCTGTTAAAATGATTGAAAACAGATTTCCATCTGTGGGATTCCAGGGAAATCTGTATGGTCAGACTATCATTACAGCCAACAAAGCATTGTAGGTAATGTACAAATAGTTTAACTCATTTATTTGATTTTTATAACATAAAATAAAAATATAGAAAAGATTTAGGGTAATTTAAAGTGAAAACACAATAATCCTTTAATAATAATATATAAGAGAAAGCCAGAATTAAATATAAAATGAGGACTGAAGAAATTCTGGTTTTAATATAAGATTATATGGATACTACATATCATATGAAATGAGTTTTGAATTTCTTGTTACTAAAAGGGAAAAAAACCCCACACAAAACCAAATAAATCATGAGAGTTTTTTGCGAAATATCTTTTCCTAGCATCAAATTCTAAAAGAGAATTGTTTCATGTATTTTCACACAAAAGAGAATCATAAAACTTTAAATAACAGTTTTGAAGAAAATGCAAAAATGTCATACAGTATTAACATATCATCCTTTAATAAAAGTCAAGGGCAGCCGGGCATGGTGGCTCACGCCTGTAATCCCAGCACTTTGGGAACCCGAGGCGGGTGGATCACGAGGTCAGGAGATCGAGATCACCCTGGCTAACATGGTGTAACCCTGTCTCTACTGAAAATACAAAAAAAATTAGCCGGGTGGGGTGGCGGACGCCTGTAGTCCCAGCTACTCGGGAGGCTGAGACAGGAGAACGGCGTGAACCCGGGAGACGGAGCTTGCAATGAGGCGAGATCACAGCACTACACTCCAGCCTGGGCAACTGAGCAAGGCTCCATCTCAAAAAAATAAAGAAATAAAAATAAAATAAAAATAAAAGTCAAGGGCATGACCTTAAGTAGTAATTCAGTTAAAACTTTTTTTTTTAAACTTTTATTTTAGGCTCAGGGGTACATGTGTAGGTTTGTTATATAGGTAAATTTTTGTCACGGGGGTTTGGTGTACAGATTATTTTGCTACCCAGGTACTAAGCATAGTACCTGATAGTTATTTTTCCTGATCCTTTCCTTCTTCCTACCATCCTCCCTCAAGTAAGCCCCAGTATCTGTTGTTCACCTCTCTGTGTCCATGTGATTCGCATAATTTAGCTCCTATTTATAGGTGAGAACATGCAGTATTTGGATTTCTCTTCCTGTGTCAGTTTACTAACAATAATGGCCTCTAGTGGCATCCATGTGCCTGCAAAGGACATGATCTCATTCTTTTTTATGGCTATGCGGTATTTTGTGGTGCATGTGTACCACATTTTCCTTACCCACTCTATCGCTGATGGGCATTTAGGTTGATTCTGTGTCTTTGCTATTGTGAATAGAGGAACATATGTGCGCATGTGTGTTTATGGTACAACGATTTGTATTCCTTTGGGTATATACCCAGTAATGGGATTGTTGGGTCAAATGATAGTTCTGTTTTTAGTTCTTTGAGGAATTGCCACCCTGCTTTCCATGATGGTTGAACTAATTTACACTCTGCACTGTGTAAGTGTTCTCTTTTCTCTGCAACCTCACCAGCATCTTTGACTTTTTGCTTTTTTTTTTTTTTTTTTTTTAATTGATATGGAGTTCTGCTTGCCTAGGCTGGAGTACAATTGTGCAATCTTGGCCCACTGCAACCTCTGCCTCCCAGGTTCAAGCAATTCCCCTGCCTTGGCCTCCAGAGTAGCTGGAATTACAGGCACCTGCCACCACACCCAGCTAATGTTTGTAGTTTTTTTAGTAGAGACGGGGTTTCACCATGTTGGTCAGGGTGGTCTTGAACTCCTGACCTCAGGTGATTCGCCCACCTCGGCCTCCCAAAGTGCTGGGATTACAGGCGTAAGCCACCGTGCCCAACCCTATTTTTTGACTTTTTAAAGATAGCCATTCTGACTGGTGTGAGATGGTATCTCACTGTGGTTTGGGTTTGGTTTGCATTTCTGTAATGCTTAGTGATACTGAGCATTTTTTTTCATATGCTTCTTGGCTGCATGTATATCTTCTTCTAAAAATCATCTGTTTGTGTTTTTTACCCACTTTTTAGTGGGGTTGTTTGTTTTTTGTTTGTAACTTTGAGTTCTTTACAGATCCTGGATATTAGATCTTTATCAAATACATAGTTTTTAAAAATATTTTCTCCCATTCTGTAGGTTGTCTGTTTACTCTGTTGATAGTTTGTTTTGCTATATAGAAGCTCTTTAGTTTAATTAGATCTGATTTGTCAATTTTTGTTTTTATTGCAATTCTTTTTGGAATCTTCATCATAAGATCTTTATCAGTTCCTGTGTCCGAATGGTATTTCCTAGATTATCTTTCAGGGTTTTTATAGTTTCAGGTTTTACATTTAAGGCTTTAATCCAGCTTGAGTTGATTTTTATATATGGTGTAAGGAAGGGGTCCAGTTTCAATCTTCTGCGTGGGCCAGTCAGTTATCCCAGCACCATTTATTGAATAGGAAGTCTTTTCCCCCATTGCTTGCTTTTGTCAGCTTTGTTAAAGATCAGATGATGTAGATGTGTGGCATTATTTCTGGGCTCTCTATTTTGTTTAATTGGTTTATGTGTCTGTTTTTGTTCCAGTACCACTGAAAGCCTATCATGTGGTTTTTGTCTTTAGTTTTGTTTATGTGACAAATCACATTTATTGATTTACGTGTATTGAACCAATCTTGCATACCAGGGATAAAGCTTACTTGATTGTGGTGAGTTAGCTTTTTGATGTGCTGCTGGATTTCGTTTGCTGGGTTTTTGTTGAGGATTTTTGCATTGATGTTCATTGAGGATATGGGCCTGAAGTTTTTTTTGTTGTTGTTTTGTCTCTGCCAGGTTTTAGTATCAGGATGATGCTAGCCTCACAGAATGACTTAGGGAGGAGTCCCTACTTTTCAATTTTTTGGAATAGTTTCTGTCGGAATGGTACCAGGTCTTCTTTGCACACCTAATAGAATTTGGCTGTGAATCTGTATGGGCTTTTTTGGTTCAGTGGGCTATTTATTACTGATTCAGTTTTGGAGTTTGTTATTGGTCTATTCAGGGATTCACTTTCTTCCTGGTTCAGTCTTGGGAGGGTGTATGTGTCCAGGAATTCATCCACTTCTAGATTTTCTAGTTTGTGTGCATAGAGGTGTTCATAGTAGTCTCTTATGATTATTTGTATTTCTGTAGAGTCAGTGGTAATGTCTCCTCTGTCATTTCTAATTGTGTTTATTTGAATCTTTTCTCTTTTCTTCATTATTACAATTAAGCTAGTGGTCCATATGTCTTATTAATTTCTTCAAAGAACCAACTCCTGGACTCACTGATCTTTTGAATGGTTTTTCATGTCTCAGTCTCCTTCAGTTCAGCTCTGATTTTGGTTACTTCTTGTATTCTGCTAGCTTTGGAGTTGGTTTGCTCTGACTTGTCTAGGTTTTTTTTTGTTTTTTTTTGTTTTTTTTTTTTTTTAAGCTGTGATGTTAGTTAATTTGAGATCTTTCTAGCTTTTTGATGTGGGTATATAGCGTTATAAATTTCCCTCTTAACAATGCCTTAGCTGTGTCCCAGAAATTCTGGAATATTTACCTTTGTCCTCATTAGTTTCAAAGAACTACTTAATTTCTGCTTTCATTATTTACCCAAAAGTCATTCAGAAGTAGGTTAATTTCCATGTAATTGTTTGGTTTTGGGCAATTTTCTTAGTTTTCATTTCTATTTTTATTGTACTTGGTCTGAGAGCATGATTGGTATGATTTTGAGGTTTTGTTTTGCATTTGCTGAGGATTGTTTTATGTCCAATTTTGTGGTCAATTTTAGAGTATGTGCCATGTGGTTATGAGAAGAATGTATATCCTGTTGTTTTGGGGCAGAGAGTTCTGTAGGTGTATGTTAGGTTCATTTGGTCGAGTGTTGAGTTTAGGTCCTAAATATCTTTTGTTAATTTTCTGCCGTGATGATCTGTGTAATACTGTCAGTGGGGTATTAAAGTCTCCCACTATTATGTGTGGCAGTCTACGTCTCTTTGTAGGTCTCTGAGAGCTTGCTTTATGAATCTGGGTGCTCCTGAGTTGGGTGTATATATATTTAGGATAGTTAGCTCTTCTTGTTGAATTGAACCCCTTACCATTATGTAATCCCTTCTTTGTCTTCTTTGATGTTGTTTTAAAGTCTGTTTGGTCTCAAATTACGATTGCAATCCCTGCCTTTTTTCTGATTTCCATTTGTTGGTAGATTTTTCTCCATCCCTTTATTTTGAGCTTTTAAGAGTCACTGCATGTGAGATGGATTTCTTGAAGACAGCATACCAATCTCTTGAAGACTTGCTTTTTTATCCAGCTTGCCACTCTGTCTTTTAAGTGAGGCATTTAGCCTATTTACATTCAAGATTAGTATTAATATGTGTGCATTTGAGCTTGTCATTGTGTTGTTAGCTGCTTATTACACAAACCTGTTTGTGTGGTTGCTTTATAATGTCACTGGTCTGTGTACTTAAATGTGTTTTTGCATTGGCCAGTAATAGTCCTTCCTTTCCATATTTAGTGCTCCTTTCAGGAGCTTTTGTAAGGCAGGTCTGGTGGTAATGAATTCTCTCGGCATTTGCTTGTCTGAAAAGGATCTTATTTCTCCTTTGCTTAGGAAGCTTAGTTTGGCTGGATATGAAATTCTTGGTTGAAGATTTTTTTCTTTTAGAATGCTGAATATAGGCCTCCAATCTCTTCTGGCTTGCAGGGTTTCAACTGAGAGGTCTACTGCTAGCCTAATGGGGTTCCCTTTACAGGTTATCTGCCCTTTCTCTCTGGCTGCCTTTAACATTCT